AAAAAAAACATAATTAGTCAGGTTAGGTGTACAAATACTTAGGAAAAATTTCCTCATGTGTATTCATCTCTGCTTGTTAGGCATGTTGCCACATTGGGGGAAGGAGATCAACCATTTTAAGGATGGAAATTAGATTTCTTTTCAGCTACCATCCATGACTGACTGGTGGTGGCTGCCTGGAATGCTGTGTTGAGAAGGATTCAGAGGCTGCTAGTAGGCTCTGTGGGAAAGATGCTGTATTGATTAGTGATGTCTGCCATGAACACAGGTATAGTGGCAAGAAGTGTCTTCTGCTGTTTCGGTGAGACTTGCATGGCTCTAACTGGCATCTCTCTTCCCCTGGTGGCAGCTAGCCGACTTGCAGGAAAAACTGATCAAGTTTTAGAGCAGTGGTTTTCCCCGTCATGATGGAAGTGGAAATCACAGGCATCAACGGGGAAATGTTTTCAAATATATACCTTGTCTTCAGGGTTTAGCAGAGTCTGCGGGGAGGTGGGGGAAGGATGAGTGGTTTAAAAATAAATCTCCCATGTGATTCTGAGGTGCCGACTTCTGTCCCCAACACTAAGAATCACCCTTCTGGGAATGAGGAAAAGGAAATTGTCTTAAAGTTGGCTTGGAAGAGAATTGACAGCTTCTTCTGGGAAGTAACCAGTGTTTCTCATAAAGCACTTAAGCACTTTTGGAATAGATTCTAGTGAGATGAAGAATCCTTCTGGAAAGTTTTCTACTCAGCTCATTTTCAGGACTGCTAGACTCTCTAAAGAGGGGCTATCTGTGAAGGCTAAATGTACAAGGGTACTTCAAAAAGTTCCTGGAAAATTAGAATTAAGAGATAATATGAATCTTTCCATGAGCTTCTTGAAGTACCCTTGCAGGCTGGAAGGTGCTAGAATACAAGGGAGATGCTTGATGATCTGTGTTATTATTAATCAGTGTGTAAGAACACTGGACTGGGAGTCCAATGATCTAGCTCCCTTCCTGGCATTGCCTCTGTGAAACGGTGGGCATGTCATTCCCTTTTCTGGGCCTTGGTTTCTTCGTCTGTCTGGTAAGTGAGTTGATTGAACTAGGCTCTGGCTCATTTCTTCTCTTTTAGCCTTAGCAATGTCTGATTCCATAACCAGCTGGGACTTTCCCCAGGGTGTGGGATAGGAGGGAGAGGATCAAGATGCTGCCTTCTTGTAGGATGGGCACCAGCAAAAAGCATGCTTCTAAGATGGTGAGGGGTCAGCCAAGTTACCCCGAGCCCATCTGCCCAAGATGAAAACCACTAGAAAGCAAACTCCACATGGGTGAAGACCATACCCGCCCTATTTGTCTGCTGTATCCCCAGTGCCTGGAAAATAGTAGGTGCTCATTAAATACTAACTATCTGAACCACATGTGTACTGGTGGGGAAGAAGACCTCCAGGAAACACGAAAGGAAAAATGCAGACCACCAGTTTTCTTGGATATTCCTACTTTATTTTTGGCTACATCATCACAAACAAAGGTGGTGGATGGTTGTGCATGCACCAGAGAGCGTGTGTATATTGTAGGCAGGGAGGTGGTTACATTTGTCAGGGAAAGCGTACACCCAGACTAGGGGCACTGTGAGCTTGCTGCATGCCGACTCTAGCATCAACACCAGTATCAGGCTTGGGTGACACAGCCAGCATGCTTTCTCCTAAGGGCAAACCATGGAAGGGAGGTGCTAGGCAGGGAGGTGGTTACATTTGTCAGGGAAAGCATACACCCAGACTAGGGGCACTGTGAGCTTGCTGCATGCCGACTCTAGCATCAACACCAGCATCAGGCTTGGGTGACACAGCCAGCATGCTTTCTCCTAAGGGCAAACCATGGAAGGGAGGTGGGCTGAGAGTAGGTGTCACAGGGGACTAATGGGGAAAAACAGGGTCAAGAGGAAAGATGGTGGCCAGGAAGCTGTTGGCCACCTTGGGGAAGGTGAGGAGCTTGTAGAAAATGGTTATTCGAGGCAAGAAATGAGTCCTTTAATGAGTTGTGCAGGGAGCTGAGAGTGGAGGGCATTGAAAGGGAAGGTTAATAGGTGTGAGTTTGGGGAAAGTGAGGGTTTTAGAATCCATCTGATAGCTTCTGTAGAGAATGGTGGGGGGTTGGGATGATTCAGGTTAATTTTCACAGGGGAGGATTTAATCAGAATTGGGAAAACCAAACCTTTCTCACAGGGCACTGAAGATTGCCCAACCCCAACCTCAACTCAAATTTATATTTGTTTGCCCACATTGCCTTTTCCTCTTTTTTTTTTTTAGGAGGAAAAACTCAGTGACTGATAATGGACCAAAAGCCTTTGGCATCAGGGTCTGCCAGTGTAAAGTTTTGCATCTACGATGTTGTCTCCCAGGAAACTTAGTAAATAGTGTAAGAGACAGAAAGAGAGGCAGAGATTGGAAGTGGTTCTGAATGAGGGACAGATGGGAGAGAGTCAACGAAACAGAGTCAAAGAGTATTGGGGGAGGGGTACTTTGTTCATTTGTCTAAGAGCAGAGGAAGGAGAAAGGCTGGGGGCTTCGGAGGAGGCCCCCTCAAACCCATAGCTCTGGGCTTCTAAATGCCTCCTGTGTGCCCACTTGGGTGGGGGTGTGGTGAGAAAGCCCCCCTATGGACGTCTATGTGGCAGCACCAGCAGTCGGCCCAGGGCCCAAGGGTATCTGGCTGTGCCAACAGGAGAAGTGGGTGATTTGACAAGCATGGGCCCAAGGGGAGCTTTAGGTTTTAGCCAGTTCCTCAGAGTTTGCTGGGCAGGCTGGTGAGAAAAAGCGACAGGGTGAGGCTGAGTTAAGATGCACTCTTTTGTTTTTGCTATTACACCCCCTTAGAGAGGGAGAAAGGAGAGAGGAAGAGAGGCAGGGAGTAGAGAGAAGAGATGAGAGGCTGAGAAAGGGAGAGATACTTATGATGAAAGAGTCAGGAAAAAGGAAGAGGGAAGAGAAGAGAGAAGGCAATAGAGAAAGGGTATTATTATTATTATTATTTTTGCTAGGAAGCAAATAGGTGACATTCTGAAAGAGGGGGCTGCAAAGTCCCTCGATATATTCTGTATGTCTATTTTCCAATGCATTTGGAACAGGGAGGGTGGTTTCCTGAACACAGTACTCTGTTTTCCTGGCAATTGGCGTGTGTGCTGGAGAGACAGTGGGAGCCTGGATACTCCATTTCTGCCCCAATACTTGTCCTCATGGTGTGTTTGAGTCTGCTGACAACTGAGGGTACATGCAGACACAACACAGGGGATGAAAGGGGCGTGTGTGTGTGTGTGTGTGTGTGTGTGTGTGTGTGTGTGTGTGTGTGTACTCAAGGCCAGGAGGGTCTAAAAACAGTCCCAAAAGATGAAGAACCTTTGTAATTTACCCAAACTGCGAGGTTATTAAATGAACCACCTCTTTGTAAACATCTCCCCTTTCCCACCCCTACTGCTCCATCCTAGGGACCAGAGAGGGGCTGCGTTCAGAGCCTGCATCCCAGCATTGGGGAGGGAGCAGAGGTCTTTGGCAGCAGTGCCCGATGTGAGGAGGGGAAACCTCGAAGGCAGGCTCAGAGAGGGCAGCAGGAGATGGTGGGAGGGAGGCCTAGAGAAGAGAGACCAGAGTGCAGTGGGCAGCTGGGGCAGGCTGGGGGTGACCCGAGCACAGGGTGGGACATGGAGCTGGGGATCTCGCACTATCCTAATCGCTTGACACATGGTTCTCATTCTGTAGCTGGTGCCAACGCTCAATCTTCTTGTCCTTATTTTTCAGACACTCGTACCAATGTTTTAAGCGCTCTCCCTTGGCGGAGATCCCCAGCTGGCAGCCGCCTGAAGGACGAAATGAGAAGACAGGGACAGGTGGTCAGAACAGAGGGACAAATGGGACTCTCATTCTAGACCCAAATGTGTAGTTGGGAAAAAACTGCCCAGTGACTTGGGATGGCTCCTCCATAGAGGGTGGTTGTTATAATGTTGTTGCCATTATTATTATTACTACCAGCTTCTCTGCCTTAAGAACCTGCAATGACTCCCTACTGTAGCACCAAGTCATAACTTCATTGTCAATTTTTTTTTTTCCTACAATTCACCATCCCACTCACTGAAACTTATCTTCCACTACTTCTGGGTACTCGTCATTTATTTCCAAAGAGTTCTTTCATCATCCTGTTCAACCCTGTCTTTACACCTTTCTCAGGAGGTGTGCCTTGCCTGGAGTTCCCTCCCTGTGCCACATTTAACCACTCATCTTCTTCATTATTGGAAGGGAACTGGAAAAATTAAAACCTTCACCCTGGACTTGCAAATAGTTTAAGGAGAACCCCTTTTTTCTGCAGAGATCACATACCCCACTCTCCTGTGATTTAACTCTTCCACTGGAGGTAACCTGTTCAGCATATAATCAAGTTTATAAGCCCTTCCATAACAAAGGCATCCCCAAATTGGACCGAAGTCAAAATCATGTGTCTTGACATAGCATTTGGACAATGTGTGAAAAAGAAAAGGAGTGACCTCAACTCTGCAGCCCTGGGTGAGGCTCTCTTCTTCTGGGGCAGACAAAGTGAGGTGGGGAGTTTTCTGGAGTTGAAAGCACTCACCGATATAATCATTGGACTTGCCGATGTCATAGTCCCAGACGGAGATGTCCAGGGACTTCTTTGCCAGGTCACTGTGCTTGATGTCATAGAAAAACTCCTGGATTCAACAGAAAAAGACATCGAGTGAGAGGGTCCCTTGAGCCTTTAGCATAAGGAGGTGAGGCTGAGTCCTAGGAGTTCATGGGCCAAGAAGAGCCCCTGAGCTGGGCATCCTGGGAGCGAAGAGGTCTTCCCTTGCTGAACCTCTGCGATAGGCCCAGTGATCCCCTTTCATCAAGTGCTCTGTATAACAGCCCTGAGATCCCCCTTTCAGTGAATTCTCTATTTGATACTGGGAAGGCTGGTGAAGTTTCTAAAATAGAGCTGGTCCTGGGCCGGCCCGGTGGCACACTGCTACAGTGCGCCGCTTGGGAGTGCGGTGGAGCTCCCGCCGAGGGTTCGGATACCACATACAGACTGGTTCCAGCTCACTGGCTGAGCGAGGTGCGGGCCCAACACCGAGGGTTGCGATCCCGTTGCCGGTCCCGGTCCGGTACGGGCGCGACACTGAGGGTTGCGATCCATTGCCGGACACGAAAAAAGACAAAAAGGAAAAAATAAAATAAAATAAATAAAATAAAATAAAATAGAGCTGGTCCTGCTCAACTTTCCTTAAAAGCAGATGTCCACACACTTAGTTCTTCCCTCCTGGTAACTTCTGAAAGGGGTTTCCCCTCTCTATTGTTTAAGGATTAAAGATAGTTGAAATGGTCTGAGTGTTTATGTCCTCAGAAATAACCACAAAGAAATGATAAGTGTTTAAGTGACAGACATGCTAACTACTCTGATTGGATCATTATACAATACATGCATGTGTTGAAACAATACACTGTACCCCATAAAAATGTACAATTAAAATAAATTAATTAAAAGTAAAAATGTAAGCCACAAAAAAATAACTTTCCTGCTCAGCTACAAAATTCATTCATGTTTATTGTTAAAGCAAAGAAGGGGAAAAAAAAAAAAAAGATTACCCATTACCTGTAATCCAACTATTCAATAACCACTGTCAACATCCCCTCATGCATGTTTACACTGATGTATGTTTTTAAAAAATGAAATAATACTGAATACACAACCTATGGTAAAAACCAACTTAGCATGTTTGCAGATATTTTTCAAATATTTTTCTCCATCATCATTTTAATGGCTACATTTAATGGCTTTGTGGCTATTCCATAACCTAATTCCTAACAGTTGAGTATATAGGTTGTTTCCAATTTTTTGCTACCATTAATGATACCATAAAATACACCCTTGTGACTAAATAATTATGTACGTCCATGATGATTTATTTAGGGTAAATTCTAAGAAATGAATTTGAGTTTGTAAAATTTTAAGATGCAGAATGGTGGGCATACTGTGAAGCCATTTGTGTGCAATAAGAAAGCTGGTTACACATATGAGTGTATTTGCTTTGTATATATGTGGGCACTTCAGAAAGTTCATGGAAAGATTCATATTATCTTTCAGTTCTACTTTTCCATGAACTTTTTGAAGTGCCCTTGTATATAAATCTCAGAAAGGGCTACTGTTGTTTCAGAAGAATAGAAGTAGGGGCTGGAGGTTGAAGTAGGAAGGGGATTCTGATTAGACACCCTTTTGTCCTTAAAAATTTTTTTTTATTGAATCATAATTGATTATACATATTTTGGGGGTTCAACATTGACATATGTTGATCAAATCAATATTACTTGCATATATATTGTTACAAATCATACTTATTCTTTATCCCCCTTGTCCAATCTCTCCCCACCCCCCTCTGCCTCCCCTTTCCCACCTCTGGTAACCCTAGATTTCTTCTCTCCTTCTAAAAGACTCATGGTTACTCTGTTGATTTGTTGCCTAGGTGATCTAATACTGAGTGGTGTGTTCAGGTCCCCCAATATGATTGTAGAGCAGGTGCTTCTTCTGTCTCTCTGGAATGGGCTTTGTGGAGAGACATGCTCTTCTTTTCTTTGGTCTCTGCTGGTGACTTTCCTTGTGTCAATGCACTCCAGTGATTGGTGGACTATCTGCATGGTGGTTGTGGCATCTAGCTGCTTTCACAGCAGCCATGGTTATTGTGGTGGTTGTGGTGGGCCACCCACATGAAGGTGATGTTTTTGGCATGCTCCTTACCTAGTTGCTGGTGACTCCCAGTTCCATGCCTCAGGACCCTGGGCAGGCCCCATGGAACTGGCAGTGTGCCTGGTTGTGGGAGGAGGGTCCAGTCCCTGGCTCTATGCCTCAGGAACCTGGGTGGGCCCCACTGGGTACTCTGTTTTTTCTTTTAGTTCTGTATTGGATTATTTGCTGTTCCTACCACTTAAACTCTTCACTGGAACTAATTTGTTGTACAGTGCTTACTTCTAAAATGGGGGATCTTCCTGTGGGGACCAGTACTTGAGCTCTGTATTTGAGCTAAATTGCTGCTTTGCTGCTGAATCCCTGGGGAAGACTTTTTGTGCAGCTCAGGTTTTAATGGTTGACTTTGTAGGTACTACTTGCAGGTTTAGTGAAATCCACTGCACCTGGGTTGTGTAGAAACTCTGGTCTGGGCCTGAGTCTTTTCATCAAACTGCACCCCATGCAATTCTATATTCCTGAACACTTTCCTCTGATTGGTCCTCTGCTGATTGGGGAGGAGATCAGCTGTCCTTGCTGTGCCCCAGTGCTCCCCCCAGTGGGCCTGTCTCCCCCACTGCCCATGCTCCAAACATTTCCCATGGGACAGGCTGTGCTCCAGTCCCTTGTGATGATTCACCGGCCTCTGAGTGGCTCCTTTTTTTCATTCATAGTGGCTCCTTGGTCCTATGTGGGTTCACAGGAACACTATTAGTGGTATTGCTGGCCTGGGGGCCACCAAGGCCCTCTTCTCCCCTGTTGTCTTCAAGCAACTCCATCTGAAGGGCACAGTTGTGGCTTTTGCCAGCTCCTGCTCCATGTGCTCAGCAGCTCCAGCCTGGAAATGGCCATGATTTGAAATGGTTGAAGCAGTTTTTTCTTTCTTTCATCATGGCTTCTCCTGCCTTCATGCACTCTGTAGGTCTCTCCTCCTCTTCCCGTGAGCTCTAACAGCCCCAGCTTGGTTGTTGCTGCTTTTTAGTAGTTGTAAATTAGTTGATTTGTGGGAGGGAGTGATGCTGCAGACTGTTCTGCCATCTTGACCAGAACTCCTTTTGTACTTTTTGAATTCTGAAATATGCAATGATATTACCTATTCTTCAAATAAATGGAATATAAATTTTTCAATTTTACAGTTTTTGAAGTGTTTTCATAATCTTCCCTTCAGAGTTTGTGTTGGTTTGTTCATTTCCCCACATGCTCACCAACACTGAGCATCAATATTTAAGAATATTTTTGTGCCAATTCATTCTGAGATTTGATATCTGGTCTTGGTTCATATTTTCTTTATTGCTAATGAGTTTATTGAACATTTGAATTTTATTTTATTTCAGATTCCAGGAGAGGGTAGGGCAGGACAGCTGTAAATGGCTCCTTACTCAAAATTCATGAGTTTGAGTTAGGAAATCAGGGGTCCCATTGAAAAAGGGGCCTGGGGAAGAAATACAGGACTAGGTGGTCAGTGATTGCTCTGTGCTCTGTTTATACAGTACATTCCCCATGTACATGCATATGGGTGTATTTAAAAAAGAAAAACAGTGCTAAGCCTACTGCACTGTAGCTTCCATTTCCCACTTTGCAACATACCGTAAAAACCAATATTAGCCAGCTCTGACCCAACATCACATCCCAAGGGTGGGGCCAAGAAAGGAAAATGTAGTACGTACAACAGAACAAGGGCTGCTCCAGGGCAGATGTGGAGATTAGAACGTGAACCACTGCCTGCTCAGGGCCTGGAGTGAGGCTAAGGGATGGGGGTCCAAGCTCAAAACTGGTGTCATATCACCTGATTGTGCATTTCTTCTTTCTCTTTATTTTTGGTTTAAGATGGGAACCATACACGTGGGTTCAGTTAGAACTCATCCATTCTTCCATTTTTTTTCTCCATCCAATCCTTTATAATGCAATAGAAATTTCTGGACTGCTAGTGTCTGTCTGGCTTGTCAATAGATAATTGAAATCCAGAGCAATAGCATAAGGTGGAAGGATGCGCAAAGGCTGCAAATGTAGAGGAAGCATACCTGCAGGAACTAACACTTACAATGAGTCTTGAGGGATGAGTAGGAGTTTTCCAGAGAGGAAAAGAGGGAGACAGTAGTCCAGGAGAAGGGAGAAGTTGGTGCAAAGGGACTTGCATGGACTTTTGTGTGATTTGAGGAGGGGGTATGTTAGGTGGGGTAGGAATGGAGGTGAGTTGAGGCTTCACTGTCATGCTAAGAAGTAAGGGAGCCATCGTTAAGTTTATTTAAGAAGTGACAAGTTAGATTTGTGTTTTGGAAAGCTCACGCTATGTAGAGAAGTTACCACACACAGAGAAGTGAGTCAGGAGTCTACTGCAATAGTCCAAGCATGAAGTCCAGGGTTTGAGCCAAGGCAGTGGCAGTGAGAACACAGAGGAAGGAGTGCATTCAGTGGGTACCTAGACAGTGTGAGGAGTGACAGAGAGGGCAGCGCCAACTGAGTGGATGGTAAAGGGCATCACTGCCCATGTTTATTCTTCAAACTTCAGTATTATAGATTATTTGATTTGGTAAAGACATTGGAGATGATTTAATTCAGTCTGTCTCTAAGTGTAGCTTCCTCCCTATGACAATCTTAATCCGTGTCCTTTTGTCCCAGGCTTGATTCCCTCCAGTGACAAGGAACTCATTCCCTCTTCTTTAGATAATTCAAGCTGGTCTATGACAGAAACATTTTTTTTTTTAAAGATGACCGGTAAGGGGATCTTAACCCTTGACTTGGTGTTGTCAGCACCACACTCACCCAGTGAGCTAACCGGCCATCCCTATATAGGATCCGAACCCGTGGCCTTGGTGCTACCAGCACCGCACTCTCCTGAGTGAGCCACGGGCCGGCCCCAGAAACATTTTTTGACGCGAGTTACAACATTCTAGTAGGAATTTGTTCCTCTCTCACACACAGGAAATATCCCCAAGCATGATAAAGAATGGGGCAGCCTTACCTCATTAAATTCGGGGTTCAAGGTTTTCTTTTTAATTTGAGTCTTGTGTTTGGCCTTCTTTCCCATATCTGGTTTCAGCCAGCTGGGAGGAGATATGAGAGGCTGTTATGGATGGAGTTTAATGAATAAGAACAGCCCCTTAATGACCCCAAAGCCTCCTTCAAGTGTCAGGATAATAATTGATGAATAAATCAGAAAGTGAATCATCATTGATAATGACCAATGTGCATTACAGCAGCTCCCTAGTGCCAGCCACTGCACTAAACACCTTAGGTATATTCATCCTCACCTGAACCCTAGGTGGTGGAACTATGACCACTCATTTTATATATACAAAAACTGAGGGCTCAGAGAGGTTGAGACATGTGCCCTAGGTCACACAGCTGGGACTTGAACCCAGCTGATACATCTGGAGTCTGTGCTCTTAGCTACCACTTTCTCCCTAGGGATCAAATTGAGGGTCATGGCTGGTGGTGCTTGTGTTTCACCATCTGCTGCCCCTTAGGCTGCCCCCAAGTCCTGGGGAGATGCTGGGCATATGGAGAAATAAGTAGATATATAATCTGATTACTGACAGTCCACTGCTCAAAACTATTCACTGGCTTCTCTTTGTCCTCAGAGTAGAGTTCAAAATCCTTTAAGTGGCCTTAAGACCCTGTGTGGTTGGGTCCCTGCTCTGTCCCAGCCTAATTTTTGCCACGCTTTTCACCCCACTACTCTCTCTCCTTTCGACCCCAGGGCCTTTGCACACACTGTTTCTTCTGCCTAGAAGGCTCTTCCCCAGTGTAGGCACAATGACTGCCACGTGATAGGTGCTCAGTCAATATCTGTTGGCTAACAAAATGGGCTAAAAACTCCTAAGGGCTGGGACATTTGGGTTCTAATTCAGGCTCTCACTAGCTGAGCAACTTCGAACAGGAGAGTAACCTTACCGTGCTTCAGTTTCCTGACCTTTAAAGAGGGCAAACACTTCCTTCTCATGGACAGAACTGTTCTTGAGAATAATTTTTAAGAAGAGAATCAAATGAGGAGTTGAAAGTTACCAAGTGCTGAGCAAAAATAAAAGGTAGTTCTGACTTTTAAAAATCTTTATTCGACTGGAAACTGCTTAATGCTTTCCTGTTTCTTTTCCTGCAACTATGTCCACCAGGGCAGCTGTTTCACTAGTGACTACAGCAACCCTACTTCTGAAAGGACTGGATGGATGGGGGCAGGAATGGTGGAGAGAATTATTTAAGAAAACCAACTCATGTGTGGCTGAGATTTAATGGAGTACGGGACAACACCCTGTGTGCTCATTTTCTCTTGGGCCATATCAGGAAGCAGAACCAAATTACTCTTGGAAATCAAACTCATCCTGACATGCGTGTGTTCTTTGTTAACTAAATCCTCATTCAAAGAAAACCTGAAAGAAAGCCCACACTAGCCTGTTCTTGGGTCATGGGCTTAAGGGAAGTGCTGGTTTCTATTATCAGTGTCTCCCAGCTGGAGAGAACATTAATATCTTTGTCATGAGTAAGAGAAGTGGTGGTGGTTACTTATAACCATAATAGCCTGGATTTATTGAGCACTTATTGTGTACCAGACCTCATGAAAATACACCATCCAGATCTCCAACTGCAGGAAGTGAAATTGACTGACAAGCCTCTGGGCTCTGAATTCATCATGTTCTCGCTGAGGCCATGCCTCCCATGGGCTGTTCTCAGCCAGGAAGTGAACCTGGAAGGGACACTAGGCAGCCCCATTTCTGGGAGATGCAAGGATCCTCGGATGGGTGACTTTATGCTCAAGGATTCACCATTCCCCTGGTAGAGACTTCCG